TGTGGCCAGCGCGGGGGTTGGGGGGTGGGGGGGGTGGCTAAAGAAGCTGGATCCCACAGGGATAACTTAACGGTTCAGGTCTCAGACCCAGATGCTTGAAAAGTACACCAGGTGCATGTACGTGCACATGCACGCCCAAAATCCAGGAAGGAGAGTGAAGAGATTGCAGCATTAGCCATCCCCCTGTGGGTTGATCTCTCACCTTCCCTCTTTGTCTCTGTCTGGCAAGCACATGTGCTCTGCTCTGTCCAAAATGGTAGCCACAAATCACAAATAGCAACTGAGCACTTGAAATGTGATCAGTGGGACAGAGAAAATGAATTCTAAACGTGTATCTAATTTTAATTAATTACTTAATTTTTGTTACTTCGCTTTTATTTCATAATCATAAAATTAACTTTGCAATTCAGCTAGATTTGGAGGGGAATTAGGAAAATATGGAGCCCAGGGCCCAGCAGGTGGCGTGGTGGTTAAGGTGCTGGACACTCCCACATGGACGACTGCGGTTCGAGTACCAGACCTAGTGGCTTGCTTTCTCACTTTCCCTCTCCTTCTCTGTGTGTCTCTCTCTGGTCAAATTAAAATAAATGAATGAATAAATAAAATTAAATAAATAAGTATTTATTTTTAAATAGGAAAATATGGAGCCCAAAGAAGTGCAGTGAGAGCACAGGTCGCATGGCATAGCGAGCAGGTGGGGTGCGGGCTGCTCTCCGGCGGGCAAGAGGAAACACGAGTCTCTTCATTAGAGTTGCCCACAGTCAGCAGCCGGGGTCTTCTTGTTGGTCTTGCCATTCTTGAACCCAAAGTGCGCCATGGCTTCCAGGATATTCCCCGCTTTCACCTTGCCGAAGGCCACATGCTTGCCATCTAAGCACTCAGTCTTGGCAGTGCAGATGAGAACCGTTGGCATTGGATCCAGCATTTCCCGTAGACTAGATGCCAGGACCTGGAAGTTTCAGGTGAAGTTCTCATCATCGGATTTCTCCCCACAGATGGACTTGCCGCCAGTACCATTATGGCGTGTGACGTCAGCCCCCTGCACATAAACCCTGGAATAACTCTGCGAAGGCAGGAACCCTTGTAACCAAATCTGTTCTCGAGTGCTCAGAGCACGGAAGCTTTCTGC